GAGGGTCATTGGGGTCCCTGCGGAAGGAAAGGGAAATCTCAGCCTGCCCAGAGGGATAAGGAATGAAGCCTCTGGTCCTCTTCCACTTCTGAACCTTCAACTCCATGGAGACACTCATCCCTCTCTTCCCTCTACCCCTCCAGCCAGCTGCAGCCATTTCTGTGGTGTGTGTGGGGGGGGGGTGGTATGTGCGTGTGTGTAACTCAATCTGGCAGTCCCTCTGCCTCAGTTCCCAGAGCCCAGGGATTACGACATGGGACACCAAAGGGTGTTTTCTTTCCTCCAGACTTCTCTGTCTCTTTCTCCACTTCCCCTTGTTTTCTTGTCCCATTTTTATTTTCCCCCTTCCATTAAAAAAAAAATAGTTTCTAGCTGGGCGTGGTACCACATACTTTTAATCCCAGCACCCAGGAAGCAAGAGGTAGGTGGGTTTCTGTGAGTTTGAGGCCAGCCTGATCTACATGGAGAATTCCAGGTCAGCCAGGGATACATAATGAGACCCTATTTCAAAATAAAATAAGAATTCTAGCTGTGTAGGTAGCTGCAGTCCTGTCTCTACAAACATCACCTTTACTTTGGATGACACAAAATCTGATGTAGTCAAGGGTTTATGCCTGCTAGGCAACTTTACCAACTGAGGCATACCCCCAAAACTCTATTGCCTTTCTCTGTCTCATCTATAATATTTTTTTAAAATGATGATGATGGTGTGTGTGTGTGTGTGTGTGTGTGTGTGTGTGAGAGAGAGAGAGAGAGAGAGAGAGAGAGAGAGAGAGATGTGGAAGTCAGAGGGCAAATTTGTGGAGTTGGTTCTCCCCTACTTTTATGTGGGTTTCAGGGATCTAACTCAGGTTTGCATGCCAATCAATCCCTTTTACCTGTTTTGAACTGTTTTGCCAGCTGCCTAGCTATGTTTTGCAGTGCTGGGGATGGCCTCATATATATTTGTGTTCCTTAGCCTTCTACCACTGGGCAGTATTTCCAGCACTCACCCCAAACCCTCCCTCAACAGGGCCTCACTATGTAGTTCCAGCTAGCCCGGGACTCCAGATATAGAGTCATCTGTCCAGCTCTGTTTTTGTCTCTGGCCTCTCCATTCTGCCTGCCTTGTTCTCTGTCACCTTTGACACTCTCTCCATCCCCTTTGCGGATGTTTCTCTTTTTCCACTATCATCCATGGGCACCCCTCTCCCCTGGACCCCCAGAGGCCATCCCCACTCAAATACCACTGACCCTGTGCGGGCAAAATTGGTCCAGTATTTCATAAGTCGCTGAGCAAAGATTCTCTCCTCCGTGGTGTAGTTCAGTGAGGGGTCCAGGGGGAGCCCAAAGATGAATTCGATTTCATAGCCATGGGGCACCCCCATCCAGAGGGGCCAAGTCAATGTGGAGGCACGATGTTCAAAGACGTAGGCATAGACCCGGGCCCCTTGGGCAGCCAGTCGCCCAGCCAGCTGGGCCACGGGACACACAACGTTGTGGTCGCCTACCACTGCACTCATGGCATCCCTCAGGTGGGCAGGGTCCTCAGGGTGCAGCCAGTCTGTATAATGTAGGACCACAGCCTCGGCCGCCAGGTCACTTGCTTGGGGTACACCCATCCGCACCCCAGACAGGAACTGGGCCCGGCTGATGAGAGATTCATTGTCTTTGCTGAAGCCTGGGACCCCGTAAACCAGAAAGTAGGAGCCCTCGTCCTTCACCACACCCACCAGCACCTGAGGATAGTTGGAGATGGGGAAAAGGATGGAGAGATGATAGATAGGTAGACAGAAACAGATGAACAAACAAATAGCCAGAGAGATGAACCCTTACAGAGCCAGAATTACATAGAGCAAAGAGTAGGGAAGGGACAAGGCATGGAGAGAAAGAAAAAAATAGACCCATGGCTTCTTCTTCTTCTTCTTCTTTTTTTTTTTTTTCTTGCCCAGCAACTACTATGGGATCTGAACCCTCCACAGGGAGTGACTGACCTTGGGACCCACATACTTGGACCTCTAACAGTGGATCTGTAGAAAGCCCTCATGCCTGGGTTTCTGGGGAAGGGGAGGAATGGATGAACCCCAGAAGAATCTGGTCAACCATTAGTCACCTGCAGGTCTTGAAAATCTCCAGCATTGATGAGGGCCTCTGGCGTGTCACTGAGGAAGTCCCCGTCCACCACAGGCACGAAGGAAAACCTGAAGATACTTTCCTGAGGGAGCACATGCCACTCGTGGTCCACCAGGTCCTGAGCTGGTCGTGTCCGCAGGCAGGCTATCAGCTCTGTATCATTGCTACCAGCACCACCTGGGGGACAGCCCACTAGGCGGGCCAGCAAGGTGGCCCTGCGCCTGGCCTCTCCTGCACCCACTGTGGCCCAGGGCCCATTGGGTGTACCACTCTGCAGGACAGCCCTGTGGAAGAGGCTCCGACTGGGCAGGGACAGAATATGCATGCCCACCGAGGCTGCACCTGCACTCTCCCCAAACAGCGTCACTGACATCGGGTTTCCCCCAAAGGCTGCAATATTTTCTTGCACCCATTGCAAGGCAAGCCGTTGATCCAGCAAGCCTACATTGCCAGGGGCCTCTCTGCTGCCTGGCAGGGCCAAGAAGCCAAAGGTTCCTACTCGGTAGTTCATAGATACCAATACGGTCTCCTCAACCTGGGCCAAGAAACGACCATCATATACGTCCAAGGAGGATGCTCCACTGTAGAAGCCACCCCCATAGATCCAGATGAGGACAGGCACGGGAGAAGTAGGCCTGGGATATGGTGTCCACACATTAAGATACAGGCAGTCTTCACTCAGCTCTCGGTTGGGGTTCCACATCTCAGTACCCTCAAACCCAGGGTACAGGGTGTCCACGTATTGGTAGCAGACATTTTGGAAGGTGGTAGCATCCAACACTCCTGACCAGGGCCGCTTGGGCTCTGGTGGCATAAACCTACGTGAGCCCACAGGTGGCTCTGCAAAGGGGATGCCCAGAAAAGCTGAGACTGGGCCCCCAGGGGCCTTCAGGCGGATGCCCCTCAGCTGGCCCCCTCGGACCTTCACCAGCAGCTGTGGGTCTTTCCGGCCCTCAGCCTCTGCCCCTCCTCCCAGGAGGGAGAGGAGGAGGAAGAGGAGTGGAAAAGCCAGGGAGGGTGTGTGCAGGGGATACCAGGAAGGCCTCATGACTGCCAAGACAGGCGGATGTCTGCTGGAGAAAAAAAGGTAAAGGGTGAAGAAGACTGGAGGCAGCTCAGAGAGAGATTAAGTAACAGTTTTGCCCAAGGGTTATCAAGGAGTTGCAGAGGAGGTGGGGCAGATTGGCAAGGGGAGGGGAGAAATGGAGTCAAACTAGGAGAAAAGACACAGGCGGACAAACGAGAAGGAATACAAAATCAGGCGCGCACACACACACACCCATACCACAACAAATGCAGCCAACTGAGATAAGACCGGCTAATACATACTCTCCCTTCCCCAGCAAGTCCTAAGGCCTCCCATACCTCCTTCCCCTGCCTCTGTGGCTTGGGCTAAGACCCCTTGCATACAGTCAAGGTTGGAAAGGCCTCAGTCCATGTACTGGCTTCAGGACAGGGGCGGAGCCCTCAAAGACGGGTGGGGCCCTTCAGGAGCCTGCAAGTTATGGTGAGAAAGCACAGCCCAAGTCTCTCCTGGGTTGGCCAAAGCCTTCAGGGAGTGGGTTGGGCATTCAAGGTATTGGGAGTCCCCGGTCCAGAAGGCATCCCAAATCCTGTGCAGTCCACGCCTAGCCCCACCCTGCTCCGCCTCATCTTCTTCCTGGTACAGCCGGTTAGCACCCTTTTGCTTCTCATCAGCCGCACCCCTCTCCCTGACTCCAGCCAACTGGCTCACCAGCCCCATGAGGGGCTCCCCAGGACTCAAGCCCCTCTGCATCCCCATATTGCAGTGCCTGACGCTGCCAACCGGGAGCAGTAGAGACCAAGAAGAGGCCAGCGCTCCCCGCCCGAGCCTTGATGTGGGGGACCTGAAGGATCGTGAGCATCGCAGAGGGGACTGAAGGGCGAGCAGGGGCTCCTGTGTTCCCGGAGCTCCGGGACGCCTGTGTTCCCGGAGCTCCGGAGATCCCTGCTGCAAAGGCAGGGGTGCTATTTTGGGGGCAACAGCTGCTGTAGTTCCGGCATCTCCAGCCAAGAGATCAAAATTCCCCGGGTCGGAACTACCCCCTCAGGGCGTTCACCCATCACCCAGCCAGCCCTGTTCGCCTGGATCTGGGGACAGTGGCGTTGTTGGAGATTAATCAGGAAACCCGAGTGGGGCTAATTA